GAACTGAAAATAATGGACCCGAGGTAAAAGAAAGTGTGATCTAAAGTCGCTGCCCTCGCTAAATTAGCGAAACCTGAATACAATCGAGAATCACGGAGTCAGACTCTTGACTACGGCTTAGGGTGTGTTGAAAGGGTACAGTGAATATTCAAATATGTCGCAGGCTCTGGATAAAAAAGTAGGCCTCGATATGAACTAAAACTGGTGAGCTTATGCTAAGCAACGAATTCCTTAGTTGGGGCAAATTGCGGGCCACGCGGTGATATCAATCTCCATATTTGACATAAAGGCTAAAACGAGATGAATAAATATAAGGTGGTGGATCAAAGGCAATTTAAGACCATACCGAAGAAGCTTTGCTGAATCAGGGTGATGCGCACGTGCATGTCAGATGGATCTCTGATCTTCGAGAAGGTAAAGGACTCATTGAAATACTTCACTGGGCCAAGTACGTCTGTACGCTTTATCTTGAGTTGCTTTCCCTGAAGACCCTGGTAAGCGGCTACCTTGACATACACGTCTGAAACAAAAAGGGAAAAATGGGAGAAATCTATGTCATCACTGACATTGAACGGTCATCTTATATTCTAAATGGATGGGAAAAGTGGGAAATAATGGCCAGCCTTACGTCTGTCTATGGAATTTAGTTGTATTGGAAATACATTTTGTATGAGAATTCAACAGTTTTAATTCCTAAAATAGAAAGTTCCAGACAATGCAATAAGTTTTAATCACGAGACTACGATCTGTCTGACATAAACACCTTATATACCATACAGAGAAAGATATTTTATCTATTTTAAAGCTCCTAGATACTGAAAAAATATTATAGCACGTAATAACTTCTCTAATTTATTAAATGCATGCTGAGTCGTTAACCTCTCGTAATATATCATAGAAATGATGAGGTTACTTCATTTGCATAAATAGCACTCTAAATATCCTACTCTATGAACACTAATAAACAGCAGTTAATTGGATTCTGAAATCCATCTTTGGTGGCAAGCCTATATATTTTTAGCTCAAACTGCCTATTGATAGTAGTTATTTGAGTATGTGTTCGCAATTTGAACATTTTTGGCTGGAAGACTCAGAGGAACACACCTTGTCCGGAGTCCATGGTGATTTGTCTCGTTGACAAGTTGTAGTGTGGTGCTAGGAATGGCACCTCTCATTGACGATGCCGACTACGATGCCGGCGAGACGTCCGGGAATATACCAAGTTCACGGTCCAATTCTGAAAATTATCATGCATACTATGGACTCCGAACAAGGTTTGTTCCTCTAGGTCTTCCTGCCAGTATGACAAAGTTGCGAAAACAACGAAAGGAGACCGCACCATACGAAAGGCCACACCATCTTGGTCTTTATTCTTTCGATTCTTCATACATAGATTACTCAATAAGTAGGCTTTCAAGACTACCAGTGAATCATATATATGAGATATATTCACCCTATTCCGTATAAGGTGATCAAGGCAGCCTGGGCTGCGCTTTCTAACACACCTTATCTCATTAGCACAGTTTGGGTCAAAAAGCAAATACCCCACCCACATGCCACATAAAGAAATACCCGTTGTCTTATTTGGCAGAACAAGCTTCTCATAGCTCACATCTTTATGTGAAAAATTAAGTAGGCATAGGCAATCGTGTGTTTATCATTAGATTCAGTACTTTATACACTTTTCAGCCATCATTTCAGTCAATCTTCTCAAAATTCTACTTGTATACAAAAAATTAAAATGTTCATTTCTTATCTATAATGGGCCTGCTTTAGAAATGTACCATTTTCAATAGGATTTTGTGTTTTCTATA